TATATATAAAAAATAAAATAAAACCGGAACGGCCCGTGCTGAAACTGGAACGGGCCGTTCTGGTGCATTTTGGGTGTGTTAATTTTGCACTTGGAACGGGCCGTTCCGGATGCAAAATTAACACACCAAAAGTGCACCCAGAACGGCCCGTTCCGATTTCAGAACGGGCCGTTCTGGGTCCAGGTGTTTTCAAAAAAATTCTCATCCACGTGGATGCCACGTATGCATCTACGTGGCGTCCACGTGGCCAAAAGTTAACACCGTTAAAGCAATTTGGACGAAAAGTCTCACATTAAAACCAATTAATTAATTTAGGACTAAATTGAAACCAATTAATTAATTTGGGACCAAATTGAGACCAAAAATTAATGAGGAACTAAATTGAAACAAAAAAAGATTATAAGGGACCAAAATAGGGTTTTAACCTAAATATTATTATAACTAAAATTTATAATAAATATTTTTATTATATATTATAATTTATATTCATGATAAATATTTAACCTGTGGTGCTAAAATATTTTTAGTTACTGATAATTTATTGTAAAAATTAATAAAATTTAATTTTAAATAAATATAATATATTAAAGTAGATAAAAGAGTATGAAAAATATTTAAAAACACTTATTAAAGAAAAAAATAGACAAAATACTTTTATTAAAAATTTATTTCTAAAACATTATAGTTTAACATAGTTATGTTAGTTGTCCTTTAAAAAAAACATAGTTATGCTAATTTATATCAATATAAGAAACATTTCTTATATTGATATGTTATATATTGATATAAGTTAGCATAACTATGTTTTTTTTTTAATTGTAATGATATGTGAATATTTTAATTTTTTATACTTTTAAAACATTTTATATATATTTTTAAAACTAAAATCTTTATCATGTTAACAAGTTATAAATTATTCAAATATTATTTTGAAAGTAGTTATTACAAAATTCTACAATTTATAATTGTATGAAAATCTAAGATTAAATAGTAGTATAAGAAAGTTAAACTATTTATGTAATTCAATTCAAAGTATTTAGATTTTTTTCCTTTTTATTTAAAAAAAAAGTCTTATTCAGAAAATATCAACCATCTTTTATATATTAAACTCCATCAATAATTGAAATTATAATTCAATCAAACTCAATGATTCATTGATCTCCCCTTTTTTTTTCACTTATCACTTGGACAAAAACCAATTATTAAAGTTTTTTCACATTATTAAAGTTTTTTAGTTCACACATTTAGAAAAAAAAATAACAATGAAAATTAGTAATATTAAAATTTTAAAGTTTTAAAAAAATAAAATTCCAAGAAAATATAAACGAGACAAGTGAAAAAAGTTAATTAAAAAAAAGTAATTTTTAAAAATAATAAAAAGTCAATTTAGAAAAAATGGCTTGCAGCAGCTATATTAAAAATACTTTCTACACTAAATATAGATAGATATATTACTAGCATAATTATATTAAAGGAAATTTGCTAGAAAGTATCCTGATTACACTTGTTAGTGATTATTTAAAACACTTTAAATTCCTGATTCTACAAATCATTTTGTTACTACTGTAATAGTTAAGAAAAACAAAAAAAACAAAACATTTGCTGTTAAGGCAGATACCCTCACCACATTGTGTGCATTGACTGCATACATACTTTATCGCTTAATGCATATTCAATTGATCATGGACACCTCATCCATCCATGCTGCTTCTAAGTTCCACCATATTGCATGATCACATATGTTATGGGATATCATGAACATTTGTGACAATTATTTCACTCAATTTCGCGAAAAGTAATCTCATATCAAGTTATCAACAACATGTAATGAATAAAAATGAAAAGTGACATCCTTCACATTTAGCTAGCATGAATAAATGTTACAAAAAAAATGCTAACCATTTTCATTCATCACTAAACATCTACAACAAAATTACAACAGGCCAGGAGATCAAAAAATGATCCTCATCTTTAGCTATGTCAAACCGCAAAAGATACAAAAAGTTATTTTTTTTTTTTTTCAATCGGTGAAAATTACAATGACAGTAACAAAGTATAAATCTAAGACCTGGGGCATATTACTTTAACCCTCTGCCATTAGGCTAACCCTAGTGGTTCAGACACCAAGAGGGTTGTTACAAATAAAATCACCAACAAGAAATTACACGGCCTGTGAAAAACTGAGTGAGAGATGCGAATCTCAATGGGAAACCTGCAATGCTCCATGGATGGATCAACAGTTGTGATCAAACCTAAACCTCCAAAGTCACAGCTTTCTGCCCTCTGATCATGCTGCTGATAATAGCTATTAAAAGCATATGATATGTTACTAGGCCAGCTGATATTGAAGCAGGATCCACCAGGAGACAGTGCAGTACAATCAGCATTTGCACAAGCCTCTAAAGCACTGGCTGATGCATTTGACAAGTCTTTATTGTTGTTCACAACACACCACTTAGAAGAGAGATACTCAACATTTTGAGCATTCAAAAGTCTCTTTGAACCCTGGCCAAGATCCACATGGTACTTTGCTTGGCCGTCGAAAGTGAACAAACCCCAATGCCTTTCAAAGTTTCCAGAAGCAATGCTTCTTTGGTCCTCATCAAGAAGGCTCAAAATGTATGTTTCAAGTGGTGGCTTGTGTGGCCTAAGTGGAGTCCCCAAGTTACTGTGAAGGTGGCTTATAAGGCCTTTAATGAAGGTTTCTGCAAGGTTTGAGCTTGCATTGGCAGCTCCATCTGTTGGCCAACCAATCTTGGCCACGACAATGTCCATGTTTGGATATCCGACTGCTGATAATACAGTAACCACTGTATCATAGCTTAAGTCAAAGCTGTTTTTGTAGGTTTTATGGTTAAAATTATGAGGGTGTGCAGTTTCTTTAAAGAGGGAAAAATCCAGTGATAAGTTTTTGGTTTGAAGGTGCGTTATGAATGGAGAAATAGTCACAAAGAAAGGTGATCCATGCTTATCAAGAAATGCAAGGAGCTCAGTCATGGTTTTGTTGAGGTCAGGCCTGAAATGAACTTCTGAGGACAGGTTAAATCCTGACTCAAAACTGTCAAAGCTGCATGGAACCACAACTTTCACTTTGCTGTCCAGTTTTGCTTTCTTTAAAGATGCTTGAATGTTCATAGCAGCTCCAATTAAAAAGGGATGAAATTGTTCACCATAGCTTTTAAGAAACGGCTCATCACCAACAGCAACATATCTGCAAAAATTATATTTAGAACCATATGTAGAGGGAACCATACTTAAGACATAATTAAGATTTGCATCCCTTCCAATATTGAGAGATTTGGAAGAGAGGGTAAGTGGGTTATAACTTTCTGAAGGTGCTGCCAACACTATCCTTTAGATTTAATTTATCCACCCCTCCTCAATACTGTTATGGTATAAAAGTATATTACTAGTGTTTTTCCTCTCCTCCCCAAGAAAACCAGAGGACACTCGGCTCCCCTTCAACCAAACCAAACAAGGAGACCCTTCACATCTAATAACCCTCTCTTCCCACCCCCTCCATCCCTTCCTTTGAACTAGACATAGGATAATAGGTCAACTTCTGTGAGGGAACTTATCAAAATATTGAGGTGCAACAATTAATTTTAACTTAAGTGAGAAGTTTGATTAATTCTACTTCCTTGATTCATTTTATTTTATTCTCCTATAAGTACTTGCTGAGAAGTTAATTCAAACTCACTTGTATTTGTAAATTATTAAGGCATAAAAGGAACTAGATATCTACAACATCAGCATTCTCAGGGAGTGGAACCAACCATTTGGCCAAGTTTGTAGGCCAGCTTTTCATTCTCCTGGCATGCAATACTGAGAAAAATAGTAATGTTCTACAAAACTAACTTTTAAAGAAAAAGCTCAAACTTAAAAGGTGCATGTTTATTATGTATGTCAATAACTACGTCCGGTCTTCTGCACAAACACAGGCATGCACGGGCACACACAAAAGCACGCACACAAAGCCTGGGAATGCAGAGCAACATATCATATGATCTTCACCTGTTATTATTTCCTTATAAGTAGGGCTGTTCATGGTTTGAATTTTTCAAAAATTTGAACCGAACTGAATCAATCCATTTTATAAAAACAGTTTGGTTAATCAAACCGTTTTTTATAAAGTAGATCGCTTCAGTTTTTATAAAAACAGTAAAATTCAGTTATTCACTTTAAACTCACATATGTTTGGTTTTTTCATAAACTCAAACGATTCCCCTTTATAAAAATTGATTTGGTTAACTGAATTATTACACAGTGAATCGGTTCAGTTTTTTTCTCAAGCAAGATTTTTATAATCTGATTCTCTTCGGTTCAGATTTCTTGCACACCCCTACTTATAAGTACTTCTACTAGTAGTAACTAGTAAGACAGTTTCATTTATGCTACATCCAACTCAGTCACCCTACCTGAGGTGGCAATATATCAGGAAGTGAAGGGAAAATGCGTAATGAACCAAGGAGTTGATTAATGTAAAAAAGAAACACAGGCTTAACAAAAGAAGCAAATTCGACAAATCTGGCATTAGCCGGATTTCTTCTTTGTATATAGTCCTAATGGTCCAAATACAGATTCTGGATTTCGGTAGATATTTGTTCTCATTCCATTTAACCTTATGACAATATGGTTATAGAAAAACCGTGCAGCTTGACCCCTATGCCCAATGGAATTGTTCTGTGTTCTATAATATAAAAACTTTCCTTATGCAGACACTAATGCTTGATGGTCTCACCAAAAGGCAGAATAACAAACACGGAATTGAACCCCCCCCCCCCCTTTTCAGAATGTCCATGATCATCAGTCAATCAAAAGAGTAAAAATCCAAAGCAAACAACCATGTATTGAAAATTAAATCAATTATAAAAAAATGGAAAAATAAACAAAGCACAAGCAAAATAGAAGAACAGAGAAAAATGGGAAACAAAGAGAACCAAGAAACCTGACTCACTCAATTCGAGTGACACTGCCCCCATTGGACATGTAGCGTGTAACATTATCATGGACCCAACTATCCGCAGCCTTCTTAGAAGAGTTCAAGTTTCTGAGCATAGCGTTGGGAATGCCCACAGTAACAGCAACGTTGGAGCCAGAAAGTGTCTGAAGAACATCAGAGTCGGCATCAAAGAGCTTAACTTTGTTGATGTTGTTGGACTTCAAGAGCTTCACCACCTTGGGGGGTGGAAGGGGGTGAGAAGCCATGGTGCCCCAGTTCACCCCCACAGCTCCAACCACACAGAAAATGGTGGGAGTCATGGTTAGGAAGGTGAATATGAGGAAACAAGAAATGGGAGGCATTTGGGTGGGTGTGATGATGCTGGAAAATGAAGAAGGAATGAAAAAAATGCAATCTTGGCTACTGTGTGAGTGACAACTTTGGTTGGGGCTTGAAGCTGTGGTGTGATGTGTTGAGTGGTTTTTGGTTAGTTTGAAAAATTTTGGAGGCTAGTAACTAGGTGTCAATGGTTATTGGTGAGTAGTGCTAGTAGGTGCTGAGTGTAGTGGTGAAGGATGGATTTAATGCGTGGTGTCAGTTGTGTGGACTGGTCTTAGGCCCATGGCTGTGAAGTACAGGACAATGGAACATATATGCTCTTGCTTTTGTGTTTGTTTTTATTAGTTTATGATTATTACTATGTTATCTGTTTTTGTGTCTACGACCCTTTGCGTTGGGGGCAATTGATGTTGGGCAAGACTGATTGAGGCCCAATATACATGACTGTGGGATCATAGCTTTTTTATTTTTAAACTTTCTCTTCACTGTTGACCTAAATAAATATATAAATGAACTTTATGTCCTAACTCATTGCTTTTTATTATGGTTTAACCTTTTGCCAACTGAGCATTTTAGTTAGTAAGTAACAGTTTAGTCGGGAAAGAAACAACTTATATCTTATAATAACGTCTATTTTGGTTGTGAATATGAAAATTTTGTCAATAAATATATGAAGATATATATGTAAACGTTTTTTAAGTCTTAAAATTTACCATTTTTGAGCATTAAAACTTGTCTTAATATTAGTAAGTCATCAAAATTCAATTCACTTAGACTTTCTAATACTAAAAAATAAAAATAAATAAATTGAATAAACAAGGCAAATGGTTGAATTTAAAAAAAAAAATGATGAGCAGATGACATCTTTTAATTAACATATAAAATCATATTGAATTGTTATGAGCTTGCAATTCAATTAGATTGTGGCTTAGTGTTAAGATCAAACTATATGATAAATTATTTGTATACTTGCATGTTTGGAATGAAATTGAAAACATGCATCCTATATTTTCTCTCCATGTTTGAATAAGAAAATACGTAAAATAATAAAATATAGTTTCGATCAAACGTGAAAAATCATGTATTTATCGGGGTACAAACACACTCAACTTTAACTTTTACTTTGCCTTTAAGGGTGTGTTTGAAAAGAAAGAAGTGGAAAGAGAAGTCAAAAACAAGTTTTTTTTTTTTTTTTATATATAACAAAAATGAGGTGTGTTTGGTATTTTTGGGTTTAGTATAATTGTAATTAGGCCTTCGGCTCGAGTAGCATACCAAAGTATCTTCATAACTTTTTGTCCTTTGAACTGGTTATGAGACTAATCTCTAGTCGGAGTTTAGTCATACTTATAGTCGACTCCAAAAGTGTATTTTGCAGGAATTGAACTTGAATCCTCTATGAAAAAACTTAATGTGTATTAAAAAATGAGGTGTGTTTGGTATGACGAAAAAGGGAGGAAAATCTAAGTATTTTAACGTAAAATTCATCTCATAAAATTTTTCCTCTAAGATGAAAAGAAGTTTGAAGAAAAGAAATATATTAAAAAGGGGTTTAAATAGTGTCAACAAACATTTCAACACTTTTTTCCAAAACGATGAAATAGTTACAAAATTTTACAAGTGCAAATCAAGAATTAAGAGAGAATAACACAATAATTCGTGTTAATCATTGAGATTATGTTCAATTTTTTTATCAATTCAATTAATTTTTACTATTTTTTTACAAAAATATAAGTATTCTTTTATAGAGAATGTAAATTTTGTTATAAGGTTTTTTGTTATAATAGGAGATTATAAATTTTGGGGATGAGATAAAAAAATGGAGAAAAGAAAAAAAATAAAGAGAAACAAAAAAATTTAAAGGAAGTAATGAAGAAAAATATATAACTGATTTTTAGTGAAAGAATAGAAAAAATAAAAATAAAATATATTTATGTTAGTGACAATATTTGAATTAAAATTTTTCTCAATAATTTTTCGTGTAAATTATATTGAACAACTTATTAAAATAAGTTCAAAATATTTTATAAGATATTCATAAAATATTTTATAAATTTGTCCAAATACTTTCATAAACATTTATAAATAGAAATAAGCAAAAATAAATTATTTATATATATTCTTGTACATAGTCTATCAAGTATTTAATTGACGAATTTTTTTTTTATAAAGATAAGAAAAATTACAAAGATGGTCGCAATAAGGATTGAGCATAATTCCTCATGCTTCTAACTACCTCAATCTTTCTTCATCCAACCACTAGACTAACCCTAATGGTCTATATCTAACTGACGAATGACGATCGAGTCTAATATGTGCTTTCCCGTTGCCTAAACATTGTAATCTTAATGTAAGTGGTATTGAGGAGGATTTAATAGTTGGTCAAAAATATTCTTAATGTACGCAAATTAAAAAAAAAACTATAAATGCATTTTTTTTTAAAGAAAACTATAAATACATAAATGAGATTATTAATAAGTAACAAAATTAAAAAGACTTTAAAGTCTAAATTTAGATTCTAAGATGCAATTGTTCCTCGATTCATCAAACTCGTATATACATCTGCAAGTTTCTCTCATAGCTTTTACGTTGGATATTGGGCGTGCGGTTTGCAGAACGCACGTCCCTGGCTTTTTGTGTTTCTTTCTCCAAATATCCGTGTTTAAAGGTAAAGGTTCATTTTTTCATTTCTTATTTAAAATTATATTCCTTTAATTTTCTTTTCAGGATTTGTCTCAGTTTTTTTATATTTATGTAACAGTTTCCAGGTTTCAGTTTTGTTGCTGTAATTGTCTTCTTTGATAATATGTGTTTGTAATCGTGAATGACATTATCCGTTTTGTCTCAACATATATAACTTAGATATTTAATAATAATGGTCAAGGTTCTGAGCCATATAAATATAATTTATTGAGGTTCTGCCATCTTTATTTGAATCAAATTATATTTATGGTTATTTTCTTTCTAGAAGGACATATTATTTTATCATCTTGCATACAACATTATAATTGTATTTTTAAATCTGATATTCATATTCAAATCTTCGTTCATTCAATATTTTATTCAATACCTGTGGTTAACACTGCTTTTACTTTGTGAATCTCTATATTATTTGTTTATTCCTGTTTTCTAGTTCTGAAAACTGTTTTTAGTATTCAAAGCTTGTCCATTTTTTATCTTCTTTGAGGGGAAGTAGAAGCCAAACCTTCTTGTGTTGGTGGTCCCGGTAGTAAGTCCTAGGGGATTAGGCAGTGAAACCGTTGGTCAGCCATGGAAAGGAGAAAAGCCTTTACCACCTTTAAAGAATCTTCAAAAATGTCCAAGATGTTTGAAACTATTAGCAGTCTAGGAACCAAGAACAAGAACAAACAAATAGTCATGAGAACTCCAAGTATAGACAGTGAAACTTCATCATCTAACCAATTAGATCAAGAACTCAAAATAGCCGAGATAGAAAATTCATTACATAATTGGTCAATACCCATAGTTAAAAAATGTGAAGTATATAAGCAACATAGTATATGGTCAATAAGTCAAGATGAAATTCATACGCTAGAATATAGTTACCCAGGAACAAAAACTAACAAAATTCTTAATTTAATTGAACAAACTTTATTAGATGAACACATCAGAAAAGGATATAATTTTATGCATCTAGGATTAATTCAAGTAGCTGTTAAACCTAATTACAGATTAGGTATAAACAGCCCAATATTATTATTACTTCGAGATATTAGGATGAAACAATTTCAAGATTCTATTATTGCGATATTAGAAAGTAATTTACATGATGGTCCTGCCTTCTTTAACTGTTACCCAAACTTTTCAATGGATATTAAAAATGAAAAGACAAGTAAATCATTAAAATTATATGTAAAAATTCCTGATGAAATATTAGATGAAGAATCTGGTCCAATACAAATTATTGTTAGGATATATTATAAAATTACAAAAATTGATTATAATTATAAAGCACTTAGGTCTTCACCTAAGAATGAAACTGTATTAGTTGAAGCAAATCTCAAAAAATCTTCAATACAAATACCTAGACGTCTTAGTCACGCAGAAGTTATTTCAAAAATTCCAGAAGATTGGCTATTAGAAGATATCATAGAAGAACCAAAAATTTACAATACTCAAATTAGAGAAATCATTCAAGATGGAACAGACATTAGGTTAAGACTAAATAGATCAAAATCCTTTAGAAATAATTTACCACAAATGATTTTTAAAGGAAATAATGCAAGACATTCTGTAGACGGATCCACTATTAACATAGATTTAACTAAATTAGATATTAATTCCAAAATAACAAGACCTGTTTATGAAAATGTTAAACATGAAGAAGAGGATTTTAATCCTTCTGCTTCTGATTTCAATTCAGTTATCAATACTATTACAAAACAAGAACCATTTAGAATTGATAAAGAATGGATTAATCAAGATTTTAAAGCAGATTATAATAAAGAATTAAGAAAATGGTATTTTTCGAATTTTTCTCAAGAAGAAATTATTAAATTTAGAGAATTGTATTATTCTTATATGGAAGAAAATGAAATCAATATTTATTTCTTTGATTGGTTTAATACTTATAGCAAAGAAAATAATATTATTAAATCAATAAATCCTTTAATAAAAACTAATAAAACTTAGAAAACAATAGATAATAAAATTATTATTTCTGAATATCCACCTATGACTACGGTTAAACTAGAAGTAGAAAAACAAGAAATAGAGGCAAGTCCTTACAAAACTATTAATGAATCAGAAAAAAGATGTTAACAAAAAAGATATTAAAAAAATTCATAATCAATTAAATTTTTCTAATAGTATGTTAGAAACTTTGTCAAAACAGTTAACAAGGATAGAAGATAAAGAAATTCCTTCTTCAAGCAGTAGTATAGTTTCAAGTATCCCAAAACCATTAGTAAAACCAATATATCAGTTGAATACACATATAGATTCATTAAAATTAGGAAGTGAGAGTGAAGAAAAAATGGAAGAAATTAAAGATTTATTATCAAAATTAACGTTAGGAAAACCGTCAATAAATACCATAGATACAGATGATTTTACCATTAATAAGATTAAAACTCATTATCCAAAAACAAGAACATATTACCCTAGACCATCTCCAGCGGACGTTCTCTATGAAGAACGAGGAGAATATGTACAAAATAGTTATTCAGGAAGTGAAATGATTGAATGGAATATAGATGATATGAGTGAACAAAGTTTATTAGATTATATATATATGATGTCTATGGCAGCCAGTGCCTACAAAAGAAGAGGAAACTCTGATAAGGCCACTACCTTAATTATAGTTCAAGGGTTTACTGGCCAACTTAAAGGTTGGTGGGATAATTTTTGGATACCTGCTGATAAAGAAACAATATTAAATACCGTAAAACCAGAAACTAGAGAAGGTTTATCCTCGTTATGCTCCTTAATGAATTTGAATTCTTATTCAGTTTAGAATGTTTGTCACCATCATCAGTTCTTTATATATCTGTGTTCATGTTGATTTTTAATATCCCTGTCAATGGCCAGTTTCTTGTATTATATAAATTCTAATTTCTTCTGTCATTTTATGGAGTTGATATCTGTTTTTCCAGATCATGGTAAAGTTAAAAATCAGCTAAACTTCGATAATACTTTATTATTCCTTTCCTTCTTATTTTCTTCGTCATATAGATGATTATAATTTGAAATTATATTGTACATACAAATGCAACATGAATGTATTATGTATATACAACACTAAAATACACTTAAGAAATTGTATTTAAGTTCTGTTGTATTTTATATTCATGTAAAGCCTTCAGTTCTGAGTTTATTACCCTGCAATGTGTCAAGACATTCATCACATTGGCATGGTCATTTTGAAATATCACTTGAAGGTAGTGACAGTTTCTTGAAATTTCATGGTTTTTAGGCCTAGCAATAAATCTCTGATTACTGATAACACTCTAAGCATTACACCTTTACAGATAAAGACCAATGTTATTAAGCCAAAGTAAATGAACATAGAGGTTATTGAGCTTTTTCTTTTGTAGCCATACTTGGGAAAAAATGGCTTTTCAATCCCCAGGAGGAATGTTGGCACTATCTCATAAGCATGATTGGCTCATTCTCCTGCTTCTTGCTGCTATTGATGGACTCTTGAATTTGATAGAGCCATTCCATCGCTATGTTGGGAAAGACATGATGACAGATCTTATGTTTCCATTCAAAGAAGATACCATACCTATGTGGGGTGTCCCTGTAAGTACTTGTTGCCATCATGCCAATAATCCATGGAGAAACCTCCTGATAATTATATGTTATAGTTTTAAGGACACAAAATTAACTTCATGAGGATTTTTGCTGCAGATCCTCTCTATTATCATCCCTATTCTTATCTTTGTTGCATATTACTTTGTCAAAAGGGATATCTATGATTTACACCATGCAACATTAGGTATTCTCTTCTTTCGGTATGTTACGGTTTTATGTTAGGACAAAACTTGGATACAAAGTATAAACATTGTTAGTGTTATTTTCCAATCATAAATAGAGTTTTCTCTTTCAATAATGTGTTGATATATAATGAAATATTTTATTATACACGAGGTGAAACTCTAATTTTGATTGAAAAAAAATAACATGACAACACCTACTTTTGTCTTTATGATTTTGACTTACCTGTTTTTTATATCTCACTGGATTGACTTCTTTATTTTGGAACTCAGGTCTCATGTTTGCTAGCTTAATCACTGGTGTTATCACAGATTCCATTAAAGATGCTGTTGGTAGACCACGACCAAACTTCTTCCAACGGTGTTTCCCTGACAATATACCTGTGTGTTTTCTTCTTATTCTCAGTGTTTGGTAACCTTTAAGGTCCTTTGAAAAAACATTTTTTGTTTTCTTTTCATGTTTTTAGGAGTAACCGTACAAAAATATGTCACGTTGTTTTGACTTTTCAAAAGATTGGCATAATGTAATATTTCCTGTAAACAAAGAAAAAACATGGTGCCCTTTTGTAATTATTTATGAAAGCAGGAAACAAAATCCAAGAAATGTTCTCTCAAACCAAATAGACCCTTTAACTCCTCAACCCTTCCTATTTTCTTGACTCTGGCTTTTTCTGTCTGATACTGATTGCTTAGATAACCTATTTGAATTGGTTCATGCAGGTGTTTGATAAAGACACTGGTGATGTTGTTTGTACTGGGATTAAGGCGGTTATAAAGGAAGGATACAAAAGCTTTCCAAGTGGACACACTTCATGTAAGTAATAGAATATGGATATCTTGTCAAAAACATGGGTTAGTTGTTGTTGATATGAACCTAATCTAGAAGGTTGTCTAAGCTCATAATATGAAAATTATCAGTTGTGCAAGATTGCTTTGTTTATAATTGAATGTTTTGGTTCATTAATAAATGCAGGGTCCTTTGCTGGTCTTGGTTTCCTTTCTTGGTATTTATCAGGGAAAATTAGAGTGTTCGATCGTAGGGGGCATATTGCGAAACTATGCATTGTCTTGCTTCCTTTGCTTGTTGCTGCTCTTGTGGGAGTTACTCGAGTTGATGATTACTGGCATCATTGGACTGATGTCTTTACTGGAGGCCTTATAGGTTACATGTTGCTAGTTACAATTGTTATCACAATGCAATGGATTATTGCTTCATTTGAAATTTATTTTCAGCAAATTAATAATGCATGTTAACTCCCTTTGATTTGTTGCTTCAGGGCTTACCGTGTCTACAATATGCTATTTGCTACTCTTTCC